GCACGAGACCGAGCGCAACTTGGTGGCTAACTCGCAGAAGGCACAGTTGGGGCTGGTGCTGGAGGCTCTGAAGAAGGCACACAAAGCGCGGATTGAGAAGATGAAGGAAGAGCACGCAAGTGTCATAGAACAACTGGCCATAGAAAGAGTGCAACTGAAGCAGCGCATGGCCGAGGAGACGTCTGCCATCCAGGAAATGAAAAGTGAACCAGAGGCTCACTACACAGAGATCGTGCACACTGCATGGGTAGAGTGTGCCATAAGAGTCAAGTGGCTGCATGACGAATTGGTGATGGTGTGTCAACGGCACGAGAAGGACCCACTAATGGAGGAGAAAGTGGTTGCTGCGACAACCAGTCTGTCTACAGCAGAAAAGCCTGTGATGGCTGTTTTGCTCGATAGTTTAGATGTCGTGAGAGTTTAGACGTGAGAGGTCGGGGCGGCTACAATAGCAAAAGATGATACAGCGAGAGGTTTACTACGACCACGGCACCGTGCAACAATGTCAGCGCCAGGAGGTCTATTTTGACTACCTTGGGCCCGCTAGCTCGATGGGACCGGATCTGCACCAGGAGCATTGGCTTCCCCTCATGCTGCCACCGATGACCGTAGTCATTAACGTGAGTGAGACCGGTGCGTCTGTCTTCTGGTGACGGCGGAGTTCGCCACTGTACATAGATCCACTGTGCCGACATGTGGTCTTGTGTTCCACGTGCGGTTCGACGTGGCCAGGGCTAGCAGCTACCACTGCATCACGTTCCCCTTTCCACTTTTGCCGAGGGGAGGGGGGGGGGCAGTATGGGAGTGGCAGCCGCGAGCCTGCCAATGACAGAAGGAAGAGGAAGACGACGATCGGGTGTGCGCTGAGTGGCACGTGGCAGCCGCGGGCAGCGGGCAGTTGTGGCCCAGGTTTCGGTCAATAAAGAAGGTTCCTGGTCGGGCTTCACGTCTTCTCTGCGAGGTTGTGGCCCGAATAGCCTCGAAACCCCCTACAATGTGTGCTTTAATAACAATATGGTTGTCATTCACAGTCGTAGGGCTAGTGAGGATGGGCAGTAGTTTTCTTTTGAGCGCTGCATCAAAATCATGACGGGAGTTCTAAATTCGGCCTGCAGACCTGTCAAGCCCACCAGCAGCATCATGGTGTATAGCCGGGAAAATTTAGGGGGAGGTGCGTGCGGTGTCAGAAAGCGTGTCTCCAATGAAGATACTGGTGTTGCGGTGTGGACACAAGGCTCTATGGAAGTCGGGAGGAAATTGTTGAGTTGCTAGCCAAATTTCGCGGCACTCCTAGACAAGTTCTTTTTCTTCGTGTGGTAGCACACACGAAAACTTCGTTGAAGTGGAGGAGTCAAGAAAAAGTATTTGTTGTGACAAGGCATTTTTCTCGTTTTCTATGGACAGAAGTTATTCGTTGTGGTAATAATTGATTCATAGCGGACTTTGCTATAGCAGGATTCAAGTTTAACTCATTTCACAGTGCTTTGAATTACCATCTATCTTTTTAAGGGGGGACGTGGCAAGTAAAACTAATTTTTTTATTAATGTACTGTTTGTGATGAAATTTGGTGTGTGTATGTGGATGATTGTGAGGATTCCAAATATGAAAACCGTTTTCAAATACCTCTTGTACTTTTTGAGTTACAAGCATAATTATACTAATTAATGCTCTTCACACTTAAAGAGATAATTATTGCTAAATGAAATTATTTTTTCATATTATTATGTTCCCAAAGCATCAACTTGTGCAAAGAAGCTATTAGTTGATTTTTCTAGTTCTTGTAACCATAAATAAATTTCCAAAACATGGATGTTGTTTTGCGCACACATCGCAGTAATTATAAAATGTGTTCTAAAAATTTTAAATGATGAGTAAGAAGAGAGATAAAGCTTTATTGCACTGCTAAAGGCCTCCTGAGCCTAGTGCAAAAAACGGAACGACTCTATCAGTCTTTGTTAGAAAATGACAGATGTTCTAGCGAAGGCACATAGGCGAAAATCAAGAGTTGAGAAAACTGACTTTGAAAGTTCACTCTTGTTTGGAAGTTCACAACATGGCTAAAACACTCAGAATCCTCCTGGGCAGTAATCCTGAGATGCTGTGGCCTTGGCCTCTGTAGAGCGCAACCCAGTTTTGCGCTTCTTTGTCGTGGAACAATGCGCTTTTTGAGCCCTCTTTACCCTTTTGGCATCCTTTTCGGCTGCTCGCCGCAAAGAGCAGTCTCCTGGATTGAAGCCCAGTTGAGCAGTGATCTCTTGCAGCGCACTCTTGCAGCCACCATTGAAACGGCAGACTGCATCTGCAACTGCACTTTCCACACTTCGAAGGGAGGCGAACTGGCTCTTGGACTGGAGTGACCAAATGAGGCTGTTCATACTCTCCACAGCGTTCTGGGTTTTTCCCTGCGCACACCTTTCAAGGAGCTCTTTGTTCGAGAGGCGCTTGTAGATTGGCAGCAGTGCCACTCGCACGTGAGGGGGCAGTTTATGTTTGTGAGGCGGCAGCGGCTCTCCCTTGGCCAATGCCTGATTGTGCGGGCACCAGGAGTCAGTCCCACTTGGGCACAGGTTGTGGTGTGGATCCTGGTCTGTGGATGTTACATGGTAATAAGTGGCCATGATGGCCCTCTCCATGCGAGGAACATCGTTGGGGTGGCTCTTAATCGCCCAGCCATAATAATTCGTCAACTTCTTTATCAGGCCCTGCGTCAGCCGGCCTTTGCCACCCATGCTCAGTCCTCGGCCTTTGGATTTGTGCTCATCAAGAAGGTTGCGCAAGGAAGTGCCCATTCTTTTTTTCACATGGTTCACACACTCCTGTTTCTTAATCACCATGTAGCCATACACCTTGTCTTGCGTGAGGGCAAGGTACGTACGGCTGTCACCGTCGCAGAGCACATTGATGTATCGAAGCTTGTACTTGGTAAACGATCTTTCAAACATGATCCTAGCTGCTTCTACTTCCATTTGGCCTGCATTAGCATCGGTGTTCTTTTGGCACTGTGGCTTGTGTTTCTCAAGCCACTCCTCATAGTTGTCGTCACCAGGCTTGGGGCCAACAGCACAGCCTTGGCAGTAGTTGGACAGGACACAGTGGTCCAAGACCAAGCCTGTGTACAGCTCGATTACACAGCCCACGCCAATATGACTTCTGTGCCCCCTCGTCATCCACGTGCCGTCGTAAATGACGTCAATGTTGCCTGGCACTCCTCCTAGGTCCTTGTAAATGTCATGCACCTTCTGTGCACTTTCTGCTTCAATGCGGGTGGCAGCTGATGTGGTGGCAGGGTGGCTGTACTTCCTTTGCAGTCTCTGGTAGGACTTGTGGTGCAGTGCTCGATGCGAAATGTCCATCGCAGAAAAAATGTCATTTATGGCAGATTGTTTCCTGCCAACTGACTGCACAGCCCTCAAAGCACGCACGTTTACCTCAAAGGGGTTCGTTTTTTGTTGCCCGGAGCACCTCGGGGACGACCACGCACTGTTCACTCTGCCACAATTGTCACAAAAAAGTTCCATCCTCGCCGCGAGTCCAAGGCAGTGCGTAGTCTCGAGGCGTATCGACCCTTCGTCGCACTTGTTGCACTTTACTGACGAAAGCAGACCGTTCAGCATCTTCTTATTTACAATGAAGAATGTGGAGTCCTTACCGCCGTCATTTTCGTCGCAGCCTTCGTTCAGAAGCTCGAGCTTCCGCTTTGAAGCGGACTTCGATGCTACGGCATCCAAAACATCCCGCCTTGTCTGCGCCCGCTGCGCGATTTCTTCACTGCTCGGAATCTGGGCCGAAACTCGCGATAGAATGTTCGACGCGCGCACGCCCGGAGTTGCAACGGCTGCCGACGCGGTGCCACCGCAATCGGGTTCGCGAGAGCGTCCATCACGGTCGACGGCATCCGGCGGTCTGACATACGACGATGTGGCACCTTCCACACTCTCGGCCTCACAACAATCAGCGAAGGGTCTGAGTAGAGGCTCCGTGACGCTCGAAGAGCATGCTCCGTCCGGAACTGCGACTGGGACGGCAGCCGCAGTCGTCTGCCCTTTGTTCCAAGCTTTCCGACGCTTGCCGTACTTGTGGACGCTCCGGAACTTTTTTTGCGGCAACATAGCACCGCAGTATGAGCAAGCACTCAGAAGAGACCACCGATGTAACAAAGCTTGGTAAAAAAAGCACGCGAACTATCACAAAAACAGCAAACTGGCAAAAAACGAAGCGCACGCCGGATGATTCTCGACACGGCGGCCGCAGATGCGCTCGCGCTTCCAAGGTTGCCAAGGTGCGCGGCGCAGCTTTGACCAGTAAGAGGTCGCGCCTGCTACCACGTGACCCGCGCAGCCAATTGCCGTTCTTCGTTTTCGTTTTTTTACTTGCTCCTCGCGCTTTTATTTTCACTCGGCGAAATACGAGACTGCGACCATCGGGAAGCCGGCTTTCTCCTCTTTCCAAAGCTACCAAAATGGCGGCCCACGGTCAACAACTTGGCGCGTTTGTGCGGCGTGAACAACACCGTTTCAGGGGCTTTTTTTTCGCACTTTTTGGCGACTAGCCTCGGCAAAAACACTATTTGCGGGATTTGTAGCGCACGTTTCGCTGTAATATTTTAGAACAAGGAAGTTGAAGGTCTGAAGATTACGAAAAAAAATAAATCAGAAAATCGCATATTTTGACCAAAATCGGCACTTTACTTGCCGCGCCCCCCCTTAAGCGTTTGTTTCTAGCAATTTACGTTTGACCGTCATTTGTGAAATACTACCTGCCATAACAAATAACGTGACTTGTGTCACGCTTCGGCAATGCTTTAAACTCCAGGAGTTACGTGGCGTATTTTGCCATCCGCACCTAGAACATCAGTAGCTGTGCTAAGCTAGCATTTTTCTGCTCCGAAATCTAGTCCAAAAAGTGAAAAGTTAATTTCATCACTGGAGTGGGCATGATAGCTTCACTAGGTCACTTGGTAGCTTCATTTCCACAGTGTCTGGACTTGCATCTCTTTCAGCTTTACAAGTGACATTTGGTCGTTGTGAAGAGGACTTCGCCAGTGCAGCACCAAGTCACGGTCCCCGGATCTCAGGTTCAACATTGTTTTGTTTTTACGTTTTTAAAATGAGGTTTTGCTTTGTACTGCCCTGTTATTCCAAACAATTTGCGGCACCTTTCATGTAAAATTGAATATCATTTGATTACACTTTGAATGAAGGGTAGACCTTTGATACAACGAAGTTTCAATACATGAAAAGTAGCATGCTAACATTAACATCAAGGTTTAATTGTATCTTGCAACACTCCTGGATGTATGAAGTGTGCACAGACAGTACTCTTGCATTGTAGTATACAGTAGAATCTAGGTGATGCGAATTTCAAAAGGCGGAGAAAATATTTGTATCACCTGAAGTTTATCATCCAAGACCAAGTAAAATCAGTTTTCAAACCATGATACACATGCCAAACATTTATTGCTGTCAAAAGGACTGGCTTATGTTTTTATGATGCACGCCAAGTAATCAATAGGGGATGGTGCAACAGGCTGCCGCTAACACTCACGTCAAAGCTTGGCTTGAGGCGAATAGAAAACTGAGTGCCAAAGTCCACTTCACTGTAGTCATCAGTGTACGAGAGGAATGCTGAAGGCTTCGTGGATTGTTACAACTTCAATTAACTTTAATCTATCGTTGCATTAACAGTCTACCTTTGGAGCTTTGTAATCTCCATGGTTTCATGTGCGGTGGCTGTGGCAAATGGTAGTTTTTTTCTTTGTTCTTTATTCTTCTTTATTCAAAGGTTACCCCGCATTGCCCAAAGGCGTTACAGCAGGGGGGTTACAGTAACGACATAAACAATTCTTAATTCTTACAGCACACTTGCATGGCAGACAATTCATTCCCTCTTTAACAGTTCTTTCGATTGGTTTCTCCAAAATTAAGTTATTGCCACTTACAGATGAACGTTGCTTCAATGAAATTTCCAGTTCATTGAATTCTCATTTCTTTGGCAGCAAACCATGGGAGTCGATGCATAAATTTTCTCGGCACAACAAGCCCGTTTTCTTCTGCCATTCTGCTTCAACAAAATTTGACAATACAATTCCAAGCTCAACTATTTAATGTCACGCAGTAAACATTATCAAACATTTTGGCACATTTTTTTAGAACACAAAAAAAATGTCTCTAAAGTCGAAATCGCGTGTTGGCACCACCAGACATCGCTGCTCTTGCATGGGGCCAGCCATTGCTTGATAGCTACAACGATGAGACTGGCCTGACTTTGCCACTACCTTGCTTCTTAGTCACAGAGAATTTGAAGTGGAAGCTCTGTTGGCTGAATCGTTCAGCTGTCCATGTTCCAGCTGGGTGCCATCGTAGCAGAATGACGACTTTTTCGATGCCAATGCTTTTCGTTTCTTTCACGCTTCGCCAGTGCAGTCATCGGTCAGAGTGACGGTTCGACTGCGTTGCCAAAAGGATCAGCCAGCCACGACTAGTATATCGCAAGAATATCATAAAATAAGGCATAAGCTGCTGCTCCTCAATACCACGCCTGTATCTCGGCGTTGTCGGATACCTTGTTGACGGTAGATAGCTGCTAGTGTTAGCGTTCGTGTTGCGTTCATGGAAGCCATTGTTTCAACACGCTTTTTATCTTGGTGTCACTGTGCTTGTACGAGAATTGCGTCACGACGGTGTTGGGGAAGAAAAGGAAGCCGCTAACAGTTGTTCAATTTTGGAAATAAAAGTTGCCGTTAAAACCCGTGTGCAGGTCGGACCCGAATATAGTCAGAGGTGCACTTCGGGCATAGCAAATGAGAGAACAAAAAGTTTTCACCCAAATATACACCTTTTTAATGAAGGCTCCCTGGGCATTGCCATAATGCCCTTTAGGCTGTTGTTAACATGCGTGACCCCCCAAAAATGCAGGGCCGAAGTTGTGACATCAGCTTTTGTACTCCTGTGCCACAGCCCAGAAAGAAAGGGATTCTTCTCTCCATTAAACAGTCTATAGACCGAGAAAAACATAAAATACATTTATTTTATACTTAATTATTCATCGTCATCTAACGAGCTCTAATCCAAAGTTCCCTTGTCAGATATGCCCTCCCACAGCGCCTCGTCGTCAGTGCCTTTGAGGACGTTTGAGATGGAGCACTTTTTCAAGAAACAGCAAACAAACTCATCAGGAATGCAGGTACAAGCCTCGGTGATCCACGAGCACAGCATCGCTGGCAAGGCCCGCTTTAGTCATCCAGCAGCGGTCACTTCCGGCTGTCATGCACTCCATATACAGGCGCTCATAGTTATTATCAGTTATGTATGATAGTCTGTATGGCATAGCCTACATCACTCTAGAGGTTGCTTCCCAACTTTAGCTCTGAAAAACCTTTCCTTGTTCTGACTCAAAAAGTGTCTCTCTGATCAAGGTTTACTCCCAAGAGAATGCTTCACTTGAAGATTACAGCCAAGAAGTTTCCATTACTTACAGTATGGCATATTTACGCGATTGTAAGTTGACTCTAATGTAGTTTGACCTCAAAATCTGAAAAAAAAAGAAAAACATGTGTAATTGCATTTTATTGTTAAAGTGTAGTTACGCTGTTGATGGACTAACTACACTGCTCATTCATTATCAAGTCAGCCCTTTTTGTCAAACTTCGATGTCCTGGCATCTTGGCCCTGCTAACCTTGAATTCACTCACAAACGAATCACTGCTGTTCGTCGTTAGGAGAGTTGCTGCTGCTGCTTTTCTATCAACGATCAAGACTCTCATAAGATTGATCAATCATTGATGGAAGAGCAGCCCTTCCAGTTAGAATTGGCACTCCTGAAAGTGAACAGCGGCTCTGCAAAAGTTTAAGAGGAAAGTTTCTTCCAAGTGTTGACAGCTGCCTTGCAGTGCCTACTGTCTCTCTTCACTTTCATCTCTTTCCTTTGATCTTACGAACTTTGCACTACAACATTAAGTTTGGTAGTACTGGTTCTCGCATTGAATGTAAGTCTACTCACTAAATTTGGATTTTAAATCCAAATAGAACGGATTAACTTACAGTTGTGCAGATGTGGTAAAATGGATCATAGATGTGGTAAAATGGATCATAAAAAGCATGCATGAGGATTGAGGACACTAGGATGGATAGAGAAGCCACTCACAATTGCTCTCTAAAGGGTACTGTTTTCTTTTTTCATTCCATCCTTTCACAGAGCCAAAAGGAACAGAGGAAGAAGATGCCCTGCAGCGACTGGCTTTGTGCTCGTCGACGCGCTCTCCAAGCAGCACCTCCTCCCGCTCCTCCCTGAGCATCCTCCCGATCCAGGACAGCAAAGGACCATGGAATGCCTACGACGACTACGAGGGAACCAGCCACAGCGATGGTGGCACAGACAAGAACTCCGACTCTGCCCGCATCACAGACCTGGCCTGATGGCCGAAAAGTAGCCCTCCTGAGCGGAGCCGACACATTGCTAGTGTCGTCTGGCTTGGGTCTTACAGAACCCTCCAACAACATCCGGCATATGCCAACCCCGGTCATCGTGCTGCTGCTAAGAACAATGGAAGTCTTCGCGGCCGTGCTGTGCATAATTTGGGGCCCTGCATCTCAACCACTCTCTCTCTTTTGGAAGAGTTTTAAAATATTTTTTTCTCACTTTTTCTCCTGTTTTAAAGCGTGGTGCATTTTTGTAGCAGCACTTTCGTGGCGCTGACGCACTTGTGCGTGGTTGTGCAAGTCCGTGCATCTGTGTGTGTGTAATCGTGCATGTTCCTGTGAGCAAGGGTAGCTGCCTAGCTGCTGCAACTGCCTCTTTAGTTGTATTTTTTTTCTTTTGATGCCTGTGTTCACTTTGCGTTCCTAGTTTGACATATGACCTTAGGGTGCAGTTTTGTAACGTTAACGTTACCACATTGCACTGTATATCATTCGGTTGTGGGAGCATGTTTTTTGGAAGGCCCTTCCAATGCAAATGTAGTTAGCACTACATATATATATATACATATTATATATATACATAGCGATATTTGCTACCAGTGGATTATAGTGTTAAGCGATAGTGTGGAACAGCACAAAATGTCCCCGCAAATAGTGTTTACTCGCAGTTGTCTGCTGTTTTGTTGAAGGACATTTTCCTCTTCGAGTGTGTGGCATACACATCATGTCTACAGGCAGACTTTAGGACCCTTATCAAGTTTTACAAAAAAAAAAAAAAAAAACGGTAACCGCTGCTGGCCAAGAAGAGTAGCAGTTTTTCCGAGTAGCTTTACAGTTTTGGAAATTAATCCGCATATCCCGGGATGCTTTGCCTCTCGTCACTGAGCCTCAACACGAGAAGGTTGATGGTAGCATTCTCCCTTGACAAAAGCAGTCCGTGCATTTTATCGAGGTTTGATGGCAATTACTGAAGAAGCATCTTCAGTCCAGGGGTGGTGCTGTGCTCGGTTCGGCTGTGTGGTGGAATACATGTGAGCTGAAAAGCGTTTGTGTATACGGCAGTAGCCGTCGGTAGACAACGAGCCATTTCGGCCAGCATTTTCGGAAGCCTTGTCGTACGCATCACAGGCAGCAGCGGGCGATGTCACACGTAGTGTAGAACATACATTTTCTCTTGTCTGACTGCCTGCGTTGCTCCTTCCAACATCCTTTTACGTTTCACTGATGTTCTTTTTTCTTCTTTTTTGCACCGCCACCAGAACGTATTCTCAACTGTGATTTCATGTGAAGAAATAAAGAGACTGGTGGGAGCTTTGAGTACGCAGACCAAAGTGTCTGTCGAGAGCACGCTTTTGAGGAACATAGCAGCTCTTTTTCCAGCACGTTGCACTGATGCTGTCGGCAGCTGCCACTGGCGGTACTTGTTTTAAATGACTTTCATTGCATATTATCTTTTTTTTTTCCTGCACCCTGAAGAGGTCCCGAAGACGGTTGTCTCATGTAATAACCAAAGCGACTCGTGATGCACTGTATCTCTCAAACTGTTTGTCGCGGGGAAGACTCTTCTTGGCGTGTTGTTTACATTGTGTGCGTGCAAGTGTGTGTGTGGCCTTGCTGCCTTTGCATGACAGCAAGGCGCGAAGCGATGTGTTTTAAAAAGATTTGTGGCAAGCATAATAACTGCCTTATGCCTCGACGTGTTGCTAAGCTGACACAGGTATGGGACAGAATAGCCCTCAACTTTCACCCGTAGCTATCGTGCACGAGCAAGTCAGGCCCATAGCCTCAGATGTCTACGATACTATGTACAACATGCATACAATAACGTTTTCCTTTTTTTTCTTCGTGAGCCTAGATCGTGAAACAAAGCCGTGTGTGTTTGCATAATTATGACATAATGGAGGATCGTCCTGTAGTGCAGCACAACACAGCTTCTCGGCACCAACCACACTGCAAAAGCGTGTTGTGACCTACACATCCTCGCATTTGTGCACTACTTTTTCTTGTGCGTTTTCTGAGCGTCTCATATTTTTTCATCTCATATTTCCTTCTTCGCATTGTAGTTACTACAATTATGAGCACCCTGCTCGGAAAATACTCACACCTGGTTTCTTGTGATAGCTCCAAGCTTTGTAGCAAAGAGAGAGAGAGAAATAAAGTGTACTAGTACTAAAGTTAACTGCAACTTTGTTTTATGTATTATTGTCACTCCAAATGTACTTTATTTATCAGTACTTCTTGTAGCTAGGCTCGTGGTGAGTGCCTTTATTTTGAGGCTGCTTGAAGAGCATCTGTCCCTTTTGCTCGTCCCCCATTAATTTTCACTTTCCCTCAGAGGTTAAATACATCGACGTACCGCAGAGATTTTTTTTCACATTTTGCATCTCAGATGTGTGCTTTTTGTGTGGGACTGCACCAAACGCATGACGTACTTGTAGCCTCATCCTGCTTCTCTCTTGCGTACCTGCAACATTGCTTCGTCTGTGTGTTGCTGTTCGGAAGTCACCCTTAGGTTGATGGTTTTACTTTAGTTGCTGAGTATATTTATAATAAAACGTATTATTTCACGGTGAACACTTGTACTTTTTGCTTTTTCTGGTGGTCCTTTGTACAATGTGCGAAGTTTTTCTGTACAATTGAACCCCTTTATAAGAGAGCAATTCTTGTCTTTCGTATGAGGTGTTTCTTAGAAGCAGGGTACCACATACGCATTTTCTTATCAACACCTATTTTGATGCAGGCTCACTGGTGTCTATTATACCCATTTGCCTCTTACATCAGTGTCTCTTGTAAAGGGGGTTTTTGACTGTACTAGAAGTTCTTAAGGGGGGACGGGGCAATGAAAATGGTTTTTATTTATGAAGCTAAAGGGATGAAAGTCGGCATGCAGATGTCAATTGTTGTGCTGATATTATAACTGAAATCGGTTTTGAGCTATCTAATATAACTTTCGAGTCACAGTACTTGATATACTCTCATTGTCATCCCAAAATTAATTGGATAATTAGACACAAGTTCATCAAAATTTTTGCATAAGGATATTTACAAGAGTCCATTTTGTGCCGTAATGTTATTGGTAAATTTTTAATATTTGAGTAAGCACACAAAATTTTTTTCTCAAATGTTCTGGACATATGGTCTTAACTTCTACAAAAAGCCAATTAAAAAAAGTCTATGATGTGCACACAAATATGGACAGCTTTATGGCACTCACCAATGTGTCAGAATCCAAGTGCAGGAAACGGAATGGCTATAGCTTAATTTGCTGTGAAACGACACAGGGATGACCGACAACAACTGCTCAAAAAATGAAACCTGAGAAAATGGAGCTCAACGACATTGGAGCTAGAGGCTGATAAAACGAAACTCGGAAGGAAGCTGGCTTTATTTTTCATTGGAGAAATGCATCTTTGTGGCTATCTTGAGCTTCAATCTGTCCTCTTCATGATGATGCCAATATGGTGGCACTGTGCCAAGGGAAAGCTGCAAATTTCCTTTTTGCTATGTCCATATTTCACATAGCCTTTGACGACAGCCTCCCTGTAAAATGCTTGTTTCTCAACTTCTACTACTTATTTTAATCTAATATTACACTATGATGTAAAACATGGTCTCAGGATTGCTGAAAAAAATTAATTGAGAAACTGAACATTTTGAACAAACTTACAATTCCCATTGTCACGTGCCCCCTTAACTTGGCCGGTGTATGCAAAGGGGTTTACAGAATATTCGTGTTGCTAGACAATGGCACCGACTTCTTGTGATGCTTTGTACTACCACAATTATAAACACTTCTGCTTTCACCTCATGCTCTTGACAAAAAGTTTATAAAAGACACTCATTATCTTTAAGCTGGTGCTGAAAGTATTGACCGGCTGAGAAGTAGAATGCAATAATTTTTCTGCAATAATAATTCAGTGCTTGTCACGCTTGGCCGTGCCATATGGCGCCATCTATACATCCTCATGTTTACAGATACAGTATCTTGTGCAAGGCTAATGCAAAAATGCAGTCAGAATTTTTTCTTTTATTTTGCCTTTAATAGAGAGTTTTAGTTTGTCTGCAACTGGATTGTATATTGGGCTTAATTTCAGTTTAATGTAGATGTAGAGGAGTTCCAAATCAAAATATAAATGTGCTGTGGACCAGGAAAACATGTTCTATTTAATAGGAGTTCTATTTTCTTAAAGACTAAGGTGGGTTGAAGCATTTAGGTACGAAACCAATCATGTTAAAAGCAGTTGTTCCATTTCAGCAGCCATTACGTTAAGAGATTTCCCTTTACTGAAAGGCCATCACATAGCGAAAAGGTAGTAAATACAGTGGTCTTTCATACCGAAACTGAAAAAGAAAACTCATTGCTTGACAAAAGTGACACCACAAACAAAGTGACAAAAGTGACCTCCAAGATAAAAGGGGAGCTAAAATGTTTTGTAGGCTGTATGCCTGGACCTTGCCACGACGTGTAAAAAGCGTGTGTCGCAAGCTGTTTGAAGGCTGCTAACAAATCAACTGTACCAGTGCCAGCCAATATTTCTTCACGGGTATACGACATTCAATTATAACGGTTTTATGGCTAAACGAAGCTCTGCTGTTGTTGGCCTTTGATGACAATGGCCAACAGCTGCCTATCAGTTCGGAATGAATCGCTCGGCATCGCCTTCCTTGCAATACAAAAAGCTGATCGTTGCTCGGGTTCACCAAACTTTGCCAACTTTGCTGACACAGCAGGTAAGCAGTGAAAATTTGGTTGGCCTGGTGTCTGCCCATTGCATCATTTCAACCCTCTGTCATCACCGATGCAATCATCAGTGCACATGTAGCGCGCGTGCAGCTTTGTCATTGTCAGTGTGTGTAGATTATCGGCGGAGAGTAGGGGGGGGGGGGAGAACTGAGCTACTGAGGGGCTCGGGCTGATTCATAAAAGCAGAGCCCCCCCCCCCCCCCCATGTGCTGACCCGGGATACTTTTGAAAGCTTGGCTTACACTCTTATTCATCGCCAATGGTATCTTAGTCATCTCAGCTACTTCAACAGTACTCTTTATGCCCGCTCCTTTTCTTTTTAGGCTTTTTCAAATACGAATCCAGCGACAAATAGGGAGTTTGGCGACTGGACAAAGAAATTGTGTCCGTTTCTCGGAGGCCATCCGCTCCCCTACTGTGCATGCATCAACATTCCCCCTCTCCTCGCGTGCGCGCGAGGAGAGGGGTTTTCCTCCAGTTCATCTCTCCGCCACAGCTTTGCGCTGGTATAAAATGCTGCGCTCGCTCGCGTCGTTGCACTCTCCTAACAGCGGTGGGTGTTAACAGCGGTGGGTGTCCACACACGGTAATACACACAAATGGGACTATAACATAAACGGTACACAACACATGCTCAAATAAAACATACAAATGAAAACACAAGTGAAAACCAGCGCTGATTCGCATCCTCAACTAGTTCTCTTTAGTAGGAGATGGTGTAATTTTAGATGCGAAGCAGCTTAGGGTGGAGTTCAACCCGGTGTGAGGCGTGACCACCCTTACTACGCATGCGCAAAAGCTGACCCAATTAAGCACTGCCAGAACACGCCCATGCACTAGCGCGTTCCGGCCTGTGTAAGGTGCAGGGTAAGACGATGCGGCTTCTAGATCCCATTTCGATTTCTCGGCAATGATGTGATTGATGTGATGATGTCTGGGAACGAGATTCTGCAGGTGCGCGATGAACCCTACGCGTTGTACCCTGGTGTCGGAACGTGCAGGCACGCAAGTGGCTGTTAGGATCGGCGCCTGAACTATGGAGAAAGGGGTGTTCGCGGTACTTCAAACGAGCCGCCGAGGAGTTGCTGGCCTGCTGAAAGCCCCTGTTTTGGTCTTCCGAGCCGGCAAAGTTCACAACAAAATGACTCGCGACTACTTGAAGAAAAGTTACCAGAATAAAAGCGTAACGTTGCCTAGTGGCATTCGCATTCCAGGGAAGAGACACCTTGGTGCCGGAGGTGCGGTGTGATGGGTATACGCCCCGATCAAAGACGTTGACCTGGGCGAGTGTGGGCGGCACCGTCGAAAATGGCGTGTGTCATTTGTTTGTGCGTACAGCAATGTTTAAAGCCGTTCTCACATCTAAGCCGAGGGGGTGGGGGTGGGGGGGGACTCCTGCGAGAGCCTGCGACGGGGTCGTCACAATGTAGGACGAACTCTTCGTCTAGTCGTTCATCATGTGGCGAAATATTGCTTGTAAATGATGTAAAATAAACCTCTGTAAAGTTTTCTGCATTAGTTCTATTCATGATCGGTGTCTTCCTCCCGAGCCCCCGGTGCCGGTGAAGGCAAAGTCTCCGTTAGCTCAACAACCACAAGCAGCGGTGGAATTCTGCGAACCCCGCATCCAACACGTGTAAGAGTGGCTAGATTCCATCTCACACTGTCTCAGCAACCACGTAATGGTGTCGGGGAACGAGAGACGAGCGATGAATCCACGTTCTTCAAGACTTTGGGAGAAATAAGACTCGATAACACCAGACAGGTGCCGGTGATGAACGAAGCCTTAAGCCGGCCCATGCGCTGCTTCGCATGGTTCTCTTTGTGGGAGATGGTGTAATTCTTTTATGTAACAGACATTTGCTTTTATTTTTGTGTGTGAGGTGGGGGAGAAATGTGGAACAGCAAGTCGGGTGCTTCGCCCTCATTGGGAATTCAAAAACTCTCCGCCTATTGTGGAGATATAAATGTTCTCTCCATTCTACCGGAAACTCAACCCACGCAAGTGAGAGGATGTGCAAGTTGAGCGCGCTCACCGCTTAGTTATTGCTCATCTAAACCGCTGACTGCAAGTTGATATGTTTAACGTCCCAAAGCCACCATATGATTATGAGAGACGCCGTAGTACAGGGCTCCGGAAATTTCGACCACATGGGTTCTTTAACGTGCCCCCAAATCTGAGCACACGGGCCTACAACATTTACGCCTCCAACAGAAATGCAGCCGCTGCAGGCGGGATTCGATCCCGCGACCTGCGGGTGAGCAGCCGAGTACCTTAGCCTATAGACCACCACGGCGGGGCCGCTGACTGCAAGTTGACGTTCAGCCCACAGGTTCTGCATTAAGCAGCACGTGGCACATTTCGGAGGCCAAAACGAACTATTGCTGTTCTAGCTAGCATTCCGCATAACTTCTGCACAGAATAGTAAAGTGTTTGTACGCAATTTCGCATTAACACATTCATGCAAAATAGCTTCAAGGACTAAAGCGAGGCGTGCAGCTGGCTAAAGCAGGTGCGAGCCGCGACATTTTTGTGTGTCAGCGCCATACGGCGCAGCCGAGTTGCAAAGCATGCCCAGAAAGCGCGCTCTTTTCGTCGTCTGCAAGGCGCAGACGACGCATATTATGCATAGCGCAAGAGTACGCTATGCAAAATAGCGTACTCTTGCAATGTTTATATCAAAATACCACTGATGTAAGTAACCAGCACCACCTAGAAAGCAGCCCAAGAACACGGCAAGAGAGGTGAATGACGATAGCCTCCGTCGTGAACCCTGCAAATTCGTCGGTCATTGATGTCTGCTATATTCGTATAGAGCAGGTGAATTGTAACAT